ATAGTTTTTTTGGAAATAATGAGACAAAGAAAAATGAAAAACGTTATCCGTAGGAATGGGAGATCGCTGGGCCAACCCTGGGGCTGCAGAAGCGCGGAGTGTAGTTGGCTACTCCGGATGGCAACTTTCCTGACTTGTCTGAACCTACAGGAAGGTGGGATGTGTTTTTCCACAGTGCTGTAGCGTGCATTACATCATGCCGAAATGGCTCATTTGAATGTAAACCCCCAATTCTGCTGTGAAGAATAATGTTTAGGGAGATTAGAGAAAGGCTTTCATGATTCCTTTAGAAAAGAATTGTCTTTGGAACTTGTTACAGCTAGAAGGAAAAAAAAAATCAGGAAAAAAACTCACTTGAGGAAATAATACATTAAGCTTTCTGGCCATCTACTTATCTAAGCCTGTAAGGCAGAAGATAATCCAAAATAGGGCATGTTCACTACTTTTGGCACATTCAGCAGAAAATTGTTTTTTCCCCCTACTGAATTTGTCCCTGGCATTTCAATTGCCTTAAAAAATAAAATCATCCCATGTATACAGAAGTACTTGCTTAGAAATTATGGTAAGGATGGCTATGCTGAGAATAATAATTGGAAACTGAAAAACAAAAATTGACTGTAGTAATTAAGTGGAAATTTTAAAAAACATCATTTAAAATGTAAATCCCTTCTGAAGAAATGTATTCAGTCCTTTGAAAGAGATTCCTTTGCAATCACTGAAGAATGTAGATTGTGATGAATCCTGGCAATGAGAAAGTAAACTGGAAGGGTTTGTTTTTTCCCTCTGACACTCCAGCAGAGACATCTCAGAATTGCCTAAATTTGAATATTTGAAATTCAAACTAATCTAGAAATCTTCCAATAAGCGTGTGATAGTAAAGAGAGCAGCAGCTGTACTCAATACCGGTGACCTAACTCACTAAAAAGTTTTCGGCCTACTTCCAATAGTACACATATTGAAAGCCACTGTATTTTGTCCCTACTTGCTTATTATTTATTTATTTTGTCTTCATGACCTGTGGTGACTCCTAAATACTCCATCTTGAGAGTAACATTTGGACAAGGGTTATAATTCTATCACGGATACACCCCAAATCATTGAATAAAATATGAAGTACCTTTTAGCAATCTATTCTGCACGTCTCAAAGTGCTCATAAATCCATCAAGTCCTTGCAAGATTGGTTTGCAGATTCTCAGTACAATTGTCTATATCGAAAAACTTCAATTTTATGTTAGGCAGAATTCCTATGTGAAATTGGGAACACAGCTATTAAAGTTTATATAAGCAATGTGGAGAGGAGGCTGGGGTAAATAGAAAATAGATTGAAGAATTGGGAAGGACTTCTGGATGAGAGGTCTTGTGCCTATTAGGTTTAAGTGGCATCAACCGCTTATAAATGGTTGACCAGACAGACACTCAGTAGGAACTGAGTTTCTTTTGGAGAGAAGGGCATTGTAGGGATAGATGGGGACCCAGTGTAGGGCTCTCCTTAGGCCCGGAGTGCACACGAAGGCAGCAATAGAGGCAGTAGAGAGGGTCGGCTTTTCAGACAGAAGTGTTTGTTGTCACCAAAAGATAGCAATATAACTGATGAAAAGATGCCAACAGAAAAACAGGGACTTTAATGATGAAGAATGTGGAGTGTGTGGAGGCACCTGCATAAAGCAGGAGATGATAAAGCAGTGGAGGAACTTCTTTTCTGGTCCCCAAAGTTCCCTATGGAGGTGGTCCAACTATATTTGAAATGGCCCACACAGCAAGGATTCTGCCAGGCAGGACGTGCTCTTTGCTCTTCTGCCGCCCTCTGGAGACTTCAGCCACAACAAGCCTGCCCACTCATCGGATGGAAGTAATGTGCCGACACCCCTGATCATTCCCTACAGAAAGGGGACCAAGGTCCGTTTTCCAGGAGCGTCTGTCACCAAGCCCAGCTGTTAGGCACTTTAATAGAGGGGAGGACACCCACGGGAGGAAGGCCTCAAAGATTCTGGGAGTGGTTAGCCAAAGTGCTGGCATGTGAGAAGGGTCAGTATGGCACAGGGAGATTTGTTTAGTGGAGGGGCCTCAGTGGGGAGAGACGAGCGAGCTGCACTGAGGTGTAGATGAGAGGACTTCGCTGGGAGGACACTGTGGGAAGAACAGGAAGTTCACCCGCTAACTAGTTTTCAGAGACCCAAAGCTCATACTGTGTTAGTATCAAATCTCCCTTAGAGGAGGCATTGACTGCCAGCATTCAGTTACAGGGAGAGCTTGCAGGCTGGCAGAGACCCTGTGCTCTCTCCTCTCCGTCAGAATGCACGCAGTTTTCATGCAGCATATGTTTTTCTGTGCAGTCACATTGCTTTAGTCTCCTTCCTGGCCTGCTCCCCCAGTCCTCCCTGCTAAAAGAATTATTCGCTAAAAGGCACCCGCAACCATCTCCTTCTCCCTCCAGCATGGACATTTGGAGATAAGGGAGCAGACTTTTGTGGGTCTTTTTAGGCAAACTGGTTTTTGAATTCTGATCGCTATGGGATGACATTGCAGGTGACAGACTCTGGATACTGACGAAGAAAAAATTAGACTCTTTATCTTTCTGGTTTAACACAGTCATCCTCACACTTTAGCACAGTGTTCCCCAAACTTTTTGGCACCAGGGACTGGTGTTCCTATGAGAATCTCATGCCCGATGACCAGAAGTGGAGCTGAAGCTGTGATGCTGGCGCTGGGGAGTGGCTGCAAATACAGATGAAATTTCGCTTGCTCACCCACTGCTCACCTCCTGCCGTGCAGCCTAGCTGTGCAGTCCGGTTCCTAACAGGCCACAGACCAGTACCAGTCTGCGGCCTGGGGGTTGGGGATCCCTGCTTTAGCACACTGATGCCATGCGTATATTCATGGATTTTGTGTTGAGTGTTGGTTGCCAGCAAGCTGTAATGAATTCAAGGGATGTAATCAAGAAGGCCAGTTGGTGGCTTGTTGACATCATTTAACTCCTTTCAGAAGAGAAAATGGCCAGCCAGGCCATGTGCTTTACACCGATCTCCTTGAACATCTTTTAACAATCATGGGGAGTATACGGAGGAAACTGAGGTTTAGAATGTCCTAAGTCACATGCTAGAAGGTGGGGGAGCTCAATGTAGACTTGGGTAGATGTCTCCGCCCAGCAGATTACAGGAGAGGCCACATGGTATAGACACAAGTTTGCCAGGAGGAAGGTCAAGGCATATAAGCACCATGTGTACTATTTGGTTTTCTGGTGGACTTCCTTGGGCCCCCTCTCCCACTAATTTTATCAAGAGTTTCAGGGAAACACAGAGTTCAAAGACTGGCTAGATTTTCAGAAGTGGGAATGTTTAGAAATCTGTTAAGCTTCAGCCGTGGAATTGAGGTCACTGCAGTGAGGCTGCTACTGACTGGCCACCTTTCAGAAGTATGGGTGGCTCTCAAAGGCACGACGATGTGGTGTACGTGTGTTTTCTAACAGCAACAACCAATTAACTCAGTTCTCACGCTCAACCTGGAGATACCATCAGATCCCAGAGATTAAAGTCTCAGCCCCACAAGACTCCATGTTGCCCCCAACTCCCCCACTTCAGAAGCCAGAAGCCAATCACAAGTTCCCCTTGCTTCTCACCAACTGGCTATAAATTGGAGGTTCCCATACCCCTTCTGGGGGGTTGATTAATTTGCTAGAGCAGCTCACAGAACTCAGAGAAACATTTTACTTACTAGCTCACCAGTTTATTATAAAAGGATGTAACACAGGAAGAGCTAGATGGAAGAGATGCATAGAGCAAGGCATGCGGAAAGTTTTGAAGCAAGTTCAGTTAACAAATACCCTGCGAGACCTCTCAGAATGATTCTTCTCTGCTGATGGGTAGAGGACACCTCGTGGATCACAAGCAATTGAGATGTGAAAAGTTTGCCACCAAAATAATCGTAGGTAACATCTGCTCCACGCTTTCTATGAGCCAGGCCCTATCCTAAGTTCTTTGTAGGCAACAACTTAGTCCTCACTACATCCTTATTACTCTCGTTACACAGCTGAAAATATCAGAGGCACAGACTGGTTAAGCAATTTTCCCATGGGCACACAGTTAAAAAGAGGCAAGGTTTGAACCCAGATAATCTGGCCACAGAGCCCATACTCTTAACGTCTTGTTTTTTTTTTTGTTTTTATTTTTGTTTGTTTTTCACTTGAATTTTTCTTTTTGAACAGGAGAAACTCAAGTTTCGATGTGGGCATACATGGAATTAACATGAAATTCCAATACTCTTAACTTCTATTCACACAGCTCTGCTAGGCTAATAGCAGCCATCTTAACTGCTCTCACATACATGCTCAGTAATGGTATAGAAAATACAATTTTTTATGCCTGGGAAGAATGTTCTTCCTGCCCAGAGAAAAAAAAATTTTCTCTGTTGGCTGTGGTTTAGAAATGCATTTGTGTGTGGCAAGCCCTTGCTTTGGCAGTCTTGCAATCGAAAACTCTTCCTCCTGCCTAGTCGAGGAGGAGACTTGGAATTGGGGAGGCTGCTGACCAAGTGGAAGAAGTTTCTGACCTCAGGAGAGCTTGGCCCATTTCTGGAAGCAGTAGGAACCCTCTCTTTGCCAAGCCTTGTTCTGTTCGACAAACACCCTGTCTGGTTCAAACCCTAATTCCTTGGGAAGAAGGGAGATTATAGGTAGCATATCATTTTGTAACATCAGACTTTTCTCAGTGGGATTCCATATAGTTGTTTTTTTTTTGTCAGATACTTTTGTTTTTTATTTATCTCTTTATTTGAACACATATGAAATTATATGAATTTCTTATTTGTTTCTCTGATGAGCCACTGGGCCAGTGTGGGAACCAGGGGTACAGATTTTGACACTTACCGCCACCCTTCTTAAGCTGCTGAGAACTTTCTGCGTTTCCAAAGTTTCAGTTTCTGCTTGATCCAGTTTCATCTTAGAGTAAGTGAAAGCTAGTTACTTCTTCACATTAAATTCTAAGCCACTAAATGGAAAGTGCCCAAGAAATTCACTAATAGCTAAAATATGACACATATCCTTATGACTCATTTCTTTCCGTAAATGTGTCTCTGGAAATGCTTGATTAAAGAAAGAGCTTTAAGAGAAGACAAGCAGAACCCTGACATGGCTCAGATTTTTCAGGGGTGCCGGGCTGTCTGGGAACTCTATGATTCCAACCCAGGTAACTGTTGGGTGTCAGCAGATGACAAAGTGCTTGTTTGCGGGAATGAAGCTTGACTGAAGCCAAAGTGAATAGTTGTAACCACTGTAGTGTTCCAGCTTGTCCAGGCAGCGATCTCAACATGTGAGACCTATGCGTGGCTCCTCTCTTGCAATTTAATTATATGAATACTAATTCTAAGGATACTCTTAGATACCAAATTGGTGCCATAAGCAGCTCAAATATTTTTAGTCATCTAAGAGATAAAGAAGAGGCATAGAAATGCCAATTTTACAATGAGCCAGCTCTTCTCAGACTTTTAATTTCAGTTTCTTGGAGAGGAGCTGATTCAAATTCTCTCAGTGGAACAGATTTGGGTTCTGTGGTTTTGATGTATCCCCAAACTGTACCAGCTACCAACAACATATGATTAGGATGCTTTGTTTATTGCTCATGACTTAGTGATAAATAAGATTTCATGTGCCTTCTATAACTTGAAAATCTTTTTATCAAAGTCATATTATGGACATGGTTATGAATTGTGTAATTCAGAAAGAATTCTAATGAAACCAAGTCATCTGTAGCATTCATTCCCAGCCCAGTTTACTCATCGTATTTTTAATATCTAAGAGTTTTCTGTTGTTATTTGATGGTATATTCTCTAATTTATCTGTTTACCGCTGAATCATTTTCTTCACTGAGTTCATCATGGTCTTTCTCTTTAATGCTTTAGGGCTTAATCAAATAAGTGATAATCTGCCAGAAAATCTGCAAGTTTACAACTTTTCTTGACCCTGTTGGAAAGCTGAGGTAGCAACCAACCAACTTGTCTAAGGAAAGACAGGAACATCCAAAAATGATGGGCCGTGAGCACTTGCATGGCTAGGGCAGGTGCTTCTCGGTGCTATATAAGCTGGTAAGATGGAGTCAACTAAGTTTTTTTTTTTTTTTTTAACAAATCACTAGCAGAAGAATATAGAACCCGTGGAGCTACACGTTTGCACTCATTTGCAGGTTCTTCACTGGGCTGCACCACCTGCCCACAAACACTGGGGGGAAGCGTGAAAATGGTGTGTCATGGCCAAAGAACACTGGATTCAGGGAGTCACCTCTGTTATGCAAGCCTGCTCTTGGTCTGAGGGAAGATGTCACCTCACCCCTCAGGCTCTCCCTGCAAACGCAACCCTGAGGAGTGGCCGGGGTAAGTGGGTGAGGGCCTTGCACTGCCGGCACATCCAGTAAGAGCTCACAGGGACCCACATGGCGGATCGCCTCTCCCAACCGGGTCAAGAGCCAGTCTCAGGAGCCAGGCCAGAGAGTTCCTCCACCGAGTAGGGAAGATCCCATTTCTGCCCAAGGGCTTGCTGTTGAGGACAGGAGGCTGTGAAACGGTAGAAGTGAAAGGTTGGAACCTGCCCCTTCTGGTCCTAAGGGATTATAGGAGGTGGTAAGAGGAAGCAGGAAGGGAGGAGTGAGATGGGCTTGTTCAATGTGGAGGTAGGGACTGGCTTAGATGTGACCAGTGCCAAGTTCAGAATGACAAGGGCATCATTAAGGCTCTGGGAGGGTTATCCCCTGAGATGCTACCCCGACACAGACCTGGGGCCATAAGAGCCAAGCAGACTCAGTGGTGCATCAGAAGTTCGCTTTTCAGAACTGCTCTTTGTGCCATTGTGGTGTGGCTCAGCCCCAGAAAATCTTGCAGTGACCCAGAGAGTTGTAGTGGCCCTAATTTATGTGCCTCCCAGATTCCTTTGGCTATGTGCTCCTGGGCCCAGTTATGGGGCTGCTGCCAGCCACACTGGATCCTTTCCATCCTCTGCCACTCTTTACTCATTGTAGACACCTTGGGCCAATAACTGTGACCAGTTGGCCAGCTCAGCCTGCAGCAGGATTGCCTGAGCGTGTAACTATAGCCCAGGCTGTGCTAATGACTTGCTGTTTTAACTGTCTGAAATGTAAGCCCTATGGGAACTATTGCAGCTGAAACCAGAACCCCTTGATTTTCAAGTTCAGATACATTGTGATTTGACAGGACTTTGGCTTCTCTTCGTGCTGCATGGAGGGACGGGGAACACAAGCAGGAAGTGCAGAAGAGTTTCACTGAGGTGAAGTTTGAACAGGGAGAGATGGGAACCAGGAAGAAGCCAGCAGATACATTCCCTACTCTTCCTCTTCTTCTCTCTACCCTACCTCCCGCCTTCTGCTTCTTCCAAGGCTCAGGGATTCTGAGTAGCCTCTCCAGAGATGTCCACACGCCTGAGCAGCCAGCGGTGTTTCCCTGTGCATCCTCTTGTTTTGCATTTCCTTGTCCTCTACTGTGGGTACCTTTTCCTCTTTGACTTCCCTGCAATTGCTCCCCCTCCCATCGCTCTACCAATAATACACTGGCTTTTACATTTTAACACAGACACTTTTCCTAGGGACCCCAGGCTCAAGGCAGCACATGTGGAGGTTAGTTAAGAGCTTGTCTGGGGACCTTGTCAAAGAGGAGCATAGAGATGGGGCAGGGCAGCCTTCAGTTTGGGGCTTTAGAGGTGGGCAGGAAGGGGTGTCAGTTAGACCCCATTGTTTGTGAGTGCCTGGGTGGGGGCAGGTTACCAGACCCTGAAAAAAACCAAGACAAGTGACAGCCTGAGAATGACAACGTGAGCAGCCACTGGATGGTCCAGGAACACTTCCTGCAATGCCGATTTTAATAACCCCTTCTCCCCAAAGCCTCAGAGACAGAGTGTGGCCTTCATATGCCCAGACACCAACACGAGCGACGGAATGGAGATGAGACAAAAATCAGAGAAAGAGAAGAACCAAAATGGCGTAGATGATAGAGGCTCTGTTCATCCCTCTGGCAACAAAATCAAAGTAGTGATGGAAACAAGGAGCAGCAGCAAGGAAAAATCACTTGGGATCTTGATGAACAAACCATACAACTAAGGAGAAATCCAAGAAAGCACCCTGCAATAGCAGACAGTAGGAGGGGGCAAGGATGCGGGGCTGTCTGGTCTCAAGTGGCTGAGAGGAGGCTGCAGCAGCAGCAGACACCTCTTAAAGGGGCCGCGTCCACAAGCAGATGTTCGCAGTGACACACCTGCTTGCTCTGAGCACCAGTGCCGACTGGGCTACACATAGGGGGCACCAGGGACTTACAGGGAGACATTGTTGGACTGAGGGCCGAGGCGAGACTCACTCTATACAGAAGTGCTGGCAGCATCCATTATTCCCTGTTAAGCCCTCCCCTCTCCCAGTGCCCGGACACAGAGCCGCAATGTCATCAGACTGGATAACAGAGGTCGCTCTGCCCAGAGGATTCCCTGAAACCCCTCCTCGCCCAACTCGCGGCCCAACCCAAGCCACATCCAGGTGTATCCTCAAAGAGTCAGGTGCTCCTTGCTGAGCAGTGCCTAGACTCACACTGGAGGCAGCTGGCCTCGGTTTCTGGTTGGTCTTTTGAGGCAACTATAAGCACAGCATCTGCGGATTGCTTGTTGAATCTTAACTGGTGGCCCCGGAAGGGCAGAGGCTTGGGCTAAATTTGGCCTGTAGCTGAACCCCTCACAGGACTGTGCCACTGGACACCTACTTCACAAATCCACACTACTAAGACTGGGAGACTTAAGAGCTTTGTTTAGTACATAGAAACAGACATGGAAAGGCAGCCAAAATGGAAAGACAAAGATACAGAAATTATATGAGAGAAAAGAACAGAGATCCAGAAATAATGGAGTCAAGTAATCTAACAGATGCAGAATTCAAAACACTGGTTATAAAGATGCTCAATGAACTTTTGGAAAGTGCAGATAAATTCAATGAGAACTTCAACAAAAAGATTAAAAAAAACCATAAAAATGGAAATGGAAATTATAAAAGGGAACCAGTCTGAAATGAAGAACACATTATCTGAGATGGGAGGTATATTGAAT